GCCCTGGGAGTGGGGGGGCTCTGGGGTGAGTTCCTAAATGCGGAGAGTTGATGCCTGGAGGTGGCAGAAGGTTCAGGGATGCCCCCCAAATTTGGGTTGGAAGAGGTAAAGAGTAACAGAGGAGCAGCCTCTTAAAAGTGGGGGAGGTGAAGATGCAAAGGGAGGCACACCCTAAAACTGGGGGTGTTGAGGTGACACCCTGAATGTGGAGAGTTGATGCCTGGAGTGGAGCAGCCGGGCATTCAGGGACACCCCCGAATTTGAGGGTGGAAGCAGAAGGTGGGGGGGTCTCCTAAAAGCGGGGGAGGCAAAGGAGGCTGGCACACCTTAAAAGCAGGGATATTGTGTAGCACCCTGAGTGTAGTGAGTTGACACCTGGAGCAGGGTGGCAGAGGATTCAGGGATGCCCCCCCCCAAATTTGGGGTGAAGAGGCAGAGGGCAACAGAGGAGGAGTCTCTTAAAAACGGTGAAAGTGCAAAGGGGGTTAGGCACCCCAAAGGTGGGGGTGCTTGGATTTCACCCTCAGGATGAGTTGGTGATACCTCCTGAAAGTTTAGGAGATGGGAGGGGAGGTCCTTTGAAAAGCAAGAAGCCGCCAAGGTGTCTTCAAAAGGCCATCCTCAAGAGGTTGGGTGAAGTTGCATCTTAGGTGGGGGGAGAGGAGAGGCATTCACCTGCCTGTGATGGGGGGAGGGTTAACAATGGATGGAGCCCCCCGAAAATGTTGGAAGAGGAGCAGGAAGTGGGGGGATAAGCACTCGAGGGTTTTGAGTGTAGAAGATAAATGTAAGGGAGGGATCGTGTGCAACCCCTTTCTCTGAGCGAAGTTGGAGGAAAAGATTCTGCCTAGGTTTTGGTGACTCCATGGACCCAACCCGCAATTTCCTTGGCCACAAGAAAGACGTAGTTTTCTTTTGCTGGCTTCTGGGTTGTTCGTTCCACTTCCAAGCTATGTTGCAGCTCTGGAATTTCTTGTCTCCTTTCTAAGTACCAACCAGGCCCAGCTTTGGTTAGCTTTTTGGGATCAGCCAAGAGAAGACAGGTGGTATTACTCAGCTGAATTATTACAAGGTAGGTGAAGTTACATGTATGTAGGCTAGGGCAGCCTTGCTCAATCTGACGTCCTCCACCTAGGTTGAAAAGCAAGAATAGGAGCCGGAGTGTAAAGGTAAAGCTTGATTTTTGCTGACTTGCCATTCATTGTCTTCTCCTGGCCAATGTTTTTCAGCTCCCCAATCTGAGAGCTGAGATTTCTGGTGGTCTCCCATCCAAATCCTAACTAGGTCTGACTTGGTTTAGCTTGTCAAGAGCAAGGAAGTGCTGCTACAGACATGGGGCAAAGATGATGCTTCTCAAAACACGAGTGGGGAGAGGGCTGGGCCTTGCTGAAAAAGGAAAAGATGTTTCTGGATGGGAGTAACTTCTCAGCTGTTGGAGAAGAAGACGACCGACCATATCTTGGATGTGAATAAAGCGTCATCTGCTCTATTGGCGTGTGAACACCTAGCTGGGTTCAGCTGCTGGGACTTGCTTGTGAACAGGGCTGTAGTTTGTGACTACCTGTTATACCATCAACAACTAAAATCCCTGAGTGGTTTACAATCTTTCCGTGTTGTAAAAGCTCAACCTCTGACTTTACTTCTAGCTTGATTCTAGAAATTCAGAGAGAATTGCCAGTCCTCAGAGCGGATCCGATGCATCCCTGGATGAGTTCACAGAAGGCTGTTAGGTTCCTAAAACCTATTCAGCTACAAGAATCTCTTGTAGTTTAAGTCAAGAGTACTGGGACTACAACTCCCTCAATCCCCAGCCAGTATTGGCAGGACTTGTTTCTGGGAGTTATAATCCCAGGGTTTGAGGAGACCAGATTAACGAAGGCTGAAATAAGGTGTCATAATAAGTGCATTGTGTAGATGGCTGATCTTTACGTGTAGGGAAAAATCTATCCTGGCTTTGCATTTTAAGGAAAGGGGTAGCGCTGGTTACTCTTCTGCTGAGGTGTGTCGTAAAATTGGGAAGTGATGGCAGGCGATTAATCTCTGCATGAGTTACTGTTCTGGCCTAGTTGTTTCCTATCCAAACTCTGGCATCTGTAGCTGGTTCTTCTGGGAATTGCAGTGCTTCCTAGTTTTTCACAGAGAGCGATGCCATTTTTGTCTTAAATAAGCATTGAAAAAGAAGTTATGCGTTCCATCGGAAAGCGTAGCTTGCAAGCGTTACACCATGTTGTCCAGATTCAGAGAGGAAAAAAAAACTGCATCGTTGAAAGAGAAGCTCTGGAGCAGGGAAGCCGAGCTCTGTGACATTCAGCAGCAGAGGTTTAACTGCTGTTAGACCAGCATTTAAACCTGTTTGATAAGCATTATGTCAGGAGTTTTCTCTGGGAAAGGCAGGCTGGGACGCGACTTGTGTGTTGCAATTACACAAGTTAAAAATCTGCCCCTGTAGGGACATCCAATGTATTAAGAATTAGGTGGTTGAAATAAAATGGGTTTGGAAGACTTCTAAAATGTGCCCGCGCCCTTGAGTTTTCAGCCCCCCTCCCAGGAAGTGTGAGAAGACAAATATTTGTTTCTGTGATAGCATCCTCCCTGCGATGTGCTTTTTCATAGTTAATGAAGCGTGGGTGTTTTATTCATCACCATGGATAAAAATCAGTTTTAGACCTGGAAGATAATTATGTATATGAAATTTTGTTCCTGAGGTTTTTTTCATTAACAAGTGGCTATCTTCTTTCCAATGTTCAAACATAATTCTAATTTGAATGCAAAGAGAAATGAATTTAGGGAGAGTTGATCATGACTGAATGAAACCTAGCTTTTATTCTTTCTCGCAATTCATACGTAACTCACACAAAACTTAATGTTTAATTGTAAGTTAAAACAAATTCAGTTTCTTTCCCACTGGGAGTACCCTCAAAGACCAATTGTGACCTCAGACTAAAAGCAGTTGTCTGAGGACTCGATGGTGCCTTTATCTTGTAAATTTTTTTATGCTCTTTGCATGCTTATCTGAAGTCTGAGAAGCAGAAAGCCCAAAGGCTGTTTCCCCCTGTAAATTCTGAACTATTCAGCACTTGCTGCGTGGGAATCAATGAAAATCAAATAATCGTAGCATGTAAAAGCAGTCAGAATGCAGGAGGATGGGCATTTGGGCAGTAATTGCATCACTGGCTTACTGGGCGAACAATATTCTAGTTGTTTTCCAGACCTATGCAGTGGATGTAGAGGTGAAAGATGAGTCCAACATCTCCTGTCTGTATGCAAAATGGATGGTGAAACTTTCAGTAACATACGAAGGAATTGATGACTACGTAAGTATATATGTTTTTTCCCCCAGTATTTAAGCTAGCAGTGAGCAACAGGGGGGCAGTTCTGCATCCTGGGAAATACGAGCATCTTAATTGTTTGAAATTGTTTAACTACTGTGCAGTCCTTTGGATTTAATTCCAAAAGGTGCCTAGGGGAGAGGAGGTGCGCGTCTAGCACCTGCCCGCTGTTGTTTAAAGCGGCTGTGTCTTCTTCTGGGTCTGTACAGCCTACGAGGACAGTCGCACAGCCCCAGGAAAAGCAACAGCTGCTTTAAAGAACTGCTACCTACAGGCTTGGAAACCACCTTTTCTCCAAAGAGCCTGCAGAGAAAAAAAAAAAAAATGGTTTAATTTTAATATTCATGCCTTACGCTTCTTTTCACCCAACTAAATTTTGACCGTAGATGCTTCCTGGCAAGAACTAAGAAGTGGTTCCTTGCATATTTGGTTTAAAATGTGCTGCTTCTGAATGGTGTTTGAAATCTTTTCAGAAAACATCCACTTTTATGCTCCCCGATGATGTGAGCTACGTTGGAAGCTCTTGTGGCAATCAGACCACTGGACCTGTCCTTTCAATTGAGTTTGGGAAAGGAAATTCTTGGACCATCCACTTCACAAAAATAAAAGACACCTATCAAGGTGTCATCACCTTTACCTATAACACCAAAGATGCAGTGTTGTTTCCGGACGCTAAAAAGAAAGGTAGGTATCGGGAGTTCAGATTGCCTGGGTTCTGTGGTTCTTCTGATCCTTCACCAATTAGGGAGAGGGGCTGCACCTTCTAACAGCACCACTGAACTTCTGTGTGTGATCATGACAGCTTGGAAGCACCATTACCCACTATTTTAAGAGGGAAACTCGTCAAAAGTGGAATATTAACTGTAAATTTGGCATAATTTTTTTTAAAGAACCTCGATCTCCTTCCTGGCTCCTCCTCCCAATACAGGAAAAATTAGGACATTTTAGCCAGGCTTTGCCCAGTCATTCTGTTATTAATTGTAGCTTACTCCACGCACAAAAATGCTGCCTTTGGAAAACTGCAGCATGTTTTGAAGTTGCTTGGCATGGCTCTGTAGGACACAAGTCGTGCTTTAGATGGTGTAATTGTTAAGGTGTTGGACTAGAAGTGAGGAGACCCAGGTTCTAGTCCACCTTCAGCCAGAGAAGCTCACACAGTGATGTAAACAGGCTCTCCACTCAGCCCAGCCTCCTGTGCGTGGAGCTTTGGTACTCCACCTAGAATTCCTGCAGGAAAAACAGAATAAATCAAATAAAACTTTACAGGTAGTTCTCGCTTAACAACCATTCATTCAATCACCATTTGAAGTTGCAAAGTGCTAAAAAAAAAAAGTGACTTACGACCGGTGCCCAAAGTTATGACCATCCAGTACCCTGCAGTCATTTGATTGCGATCTGGGCACCTGGCAACCAGCTTGCACTTACAACAGTTGCAGCATCCCGGGCTCACGTGATCGCCATTTGCAACCTTCCCAGCCAGCTTCCGGCAAGCAAAATCAGTGGGAAACCACATGATTTGCTTAACAACCACAAGAAGGTCGTAAAATTGGGTCTGATTCACTTAATAACCACCTCACTTAACCAATTTTCCGGTCCCTGTTGTGGTTGTTAAATGAGGACTACCTTTATTCTTATTCCCACCATTGACTTTAAAACATCTGCACAACTTAAAAGTCCTTGTTTTGCCCCTTTAAAATGCACCAAAAAACAAACAAACAAACAAATTTTAAGTTTGAGCTATACCCATTCTGGATGGGGGCTGGAGATACAAAAGGCACATCAGCCCCAGGTCATAATATATGCCCCACGTGTGTTCTTTTTAGTTCAAATCTCAGGACCCCAAGAAGGTGATCAAAAGGAGGAGAAATGGTTTTGTAAAATAACTGCATGAATTGTAAGTTGAGTGTTGTGAGGATAATGGAATGCCCCATAGCTATACCCAAATGGCAGAATTTGGCATTTTAATTCAGCATAAAATGCTCTGTACCAAAGGTTTCATCAAGAGGAAAAATATGGGGTGTGTTTAATTTATTACAAAAATTGAAAGTGGCAGTACTCTCTTGCAAAACCCTACGGTTCTTACTGTTTAACTCCCATGTTGCTTTATTTATTGCATTGCTGCCCTGCCTCTCCCTGAGAATTTAAGCTGGCCTGCCTGAGAGAATTTCCTCATTTTACACAATGAGTGCCCTGTGAGGAGGGCTGAGCAGAGTTGAGCAAGACTGAGTGGGGACTTGAACCAAAGTCTTCCTGATCCACATCTTATGCTTAAGATACCACTATGGCTCTTTATCTTACGTAAGTAAGAGAGAGGTGCTTCCTTCCCCTCAGTTCTTTAAAACCGATCTTGATAGAAAGTGGTTTTCCCTGGCTTGGATTCACAGGTCACATTCATTTCATTCTGGTTAGTGGTTTGCGAGCCCTGATTGCTAGCTTAGCTCAAGTGGGAGCCACTATCTTTCATTCCTTTGCCTCCAGGATTCTCCAACGAACTTCTTTAGGTTTGATATTGGCAAGCCTGAGCTAGTAGCCTTTGACAGAACTTGTTGATTTCTTTACAGATCCTGTTACTGTTTCTGCAAATTATCCTGCAAATCCTATTAAGCTAAATACAGTATTTAGTTGTAGCAGTGAAGACACTGTGAAAAGTGGTAACGTTACCCTGACTTTCCAGAATGTCACTCTGCAAGCTTTCCTTCAAGGCGGGAGCCTGAGTAGCCAAAGTAAGTAGCTGAAGAGTACCCAACTGTTTTGCATGCTAATTGAATGTCCACACCCATATTTGAAAAAGTAAACTTTTCCTGCCTTGAGAATCAAGAGTTGCGGTTGGATGCTACCAAGTAGGTGGCTCCTTCAAGCAAGAGATGTGTTCCCTTAACTGCTGCATTTATGGGACTGACTGAATGAGATGGGCTGACCCCACCATGAGCTTTATGAGACACTTACCTCAGGCAGGAGAAGTTAGGAGGTAGCAGCAAGGTGCTAGAGGAGGGAACCACCTGCCCTAAGACCTGGTCTGTTTCTTCCAAGCTAGGTTGCTGCCTTGAAGTCTGTGGAAGTTCCATTCACAGCACTAAAGAAAAACTCAACTCCCACCCTAGGAAGCCATTAGGCATGGCATGAAAGGGGCAACATCTTCTCACTCTCATCTTGGGTTGGCCATGCATATGGTGTGATCTTGGGCTCCTGGGAGGAAGTTTTTCATCAACCTTTTTTAGCTGACTCACCTGGTCTATGGATGCTAATGAAAGCATTGTAATATAATTGAACATTTTCCCCAATTTGGAGCTTTCTTAAACATTTGACTTCAATTCCCATAACCCCCAGGGCTTATGGGAAGCACAGGTAGAGACCACAAGGTCTGGGAAAACTACAGTATGTTTAGTGCTTCCAAAGGAAAAATCCTGGGTTTGGTAGAATACTTTGATGGGTGTAAACATCGGTGTGCTCCAAAACAGGATCCTGTTTCAAGTGCACGAATTTCCCTACTTTCTGTTTTTCCCCCAGAGACACTATGTGATAATGACGCTACGATGCCCACCATCTCTACTGTTGATCTGGTCACCAAATCTCTCTTGGTCTCCCCTGCTGGCACCTCAGTGACTACAGAGTTAAATGCCACAGAAAATTCCTCATCGCCTTTACCTTCCATCCCACCAGAGGAGAAACCTGGCACAGGGAGTTATAATGTCAAATCTGGAGCAGTTACCTGCCTTTTAGCAAGCTTGGGCTTGCAGCTGAACATCACTCAACAGGTTTATTATATATATATATATATATATATATATATTCTCTGGCTTGGTTATCCTGTGGGCATGGTGGATTCTTGTTTCAGCATTGATGCTAATAGCACCTACCACAAAGATACAGAAGCTAGTAATCCATGGGCTGAATTTAGCCCCAATTTTGAGATCTCCAAAAGTTCCCCAAGATGATGATGCTGAAATTGGGTGGTAAAAAAATGCTGTATGTTGTTTTAGGGGTGGGCCTTTTCTCCTTTTATGTGAAAGTAAGGGGGGAAAGGAATATGGAGAGCCCTCGACCCTGTCCCCAGGAAAAAGCTGAAAACAGATGTCAGCACTAAAAGAAAACTTAAATAATGCAAACTCAGTGTTTCCAGCTGCAATGAGAATTGTAGCAGGAAGTTAACATGTAACTGATTGCGTATTAATTTCCTTTGCTTTTAACCGAGCTTGTTCACCTGCTGATTTTGCTTATTGCACACAAGCCAGAGTTCCAGTTGTTCAATTTAAGCAGCCATATGCATTTCTTAAGGGCATAAAAAGAAATGGGCTTTGATAGCTCGCCAGTAGAGGGAGTGCGAATTTCCCAAGTCTTGTATTGGTGCCTGTGAATCCTGATTCCTTGGGACTGTAGGTGCCTTGCTGACTAATTGTGGGAGATGCTAGAATAAATTTCTCTTAAATCAGTAAAAATCTCTTAAATCAGTATCAGCTTTGAGGGTTACCCTTCTTTTAGAAACATCAGACTTCTATATTTTTCTCAATGGAATACTGGCGAAAGATTTTTTTCTTTCTCGGCTAACGTTTAGTTTCTTAAAAGATGATGGTATTGGTATTTTAATGGAATCTTTATGGTGATGTGCCTTGTTTCTTGATGATAGTATTGTTTTTAGCCATCATGCGCCTTTTAAATAAGGTGGGATGTGAATTTTGAAAGAATTAGAGTTCCCCAGGGGCCAAATGTCTCCTTTATGCCTTCCCACTTGTGACAGATGTGTATGGTGAGGCACAGTCATCCCACTGCGATAGTGTCTGGTCAGCAAGAATTAGGAGATAATTTTGTTAGGTGGTGAGAAAGCTGAAGCCTAAGAGAAACCTTTAAAGATCTCCACGGGTGGTGATAAAACGCACAGAAGAAATTGTGGAAGCATCAGCTGTAAAGGGGCTGAAATCCTTCTGTTTTTCCCTGTGCCTTCAGGTTCCTCTGATTATTAACTTTAATCCAAACACCACACTGGCCAGTGGTCACTGTGGTCAGACAACTGCTGTTCTTCAGTTGATTGATGGCAACCATAAGGTTGATTTTCTCTTTGCTGTGGTGAGTACAGCTGTAGTGTATACAAGTTGATTTTGTTTATTTAGGTTTTATTTCCCCATGCAAATTGATTCACCCTTTCCTGATAGAACAAGACATCTCTGCAAGAAAAAGCAAGGTAACATTTGTAGTTGTGCTGGAAGCAAAAAGATATCCAACAGCTTCCCCAGAAGTACTCCAACCTTAAATCCAGCCACTGCAGGTTCATTTCACAGTCAGAATGGCCTGTTTCGAAGTTGGATCACTTTCATTGAGTCATTAATGAAGAGTTAATGAATAATTAAGTCATGACTGAACGACCCATTGCCGTATCAGAATGCTTCCAGTAAGACTGAAATATCTCATTCTGACTTCAGTCTTTTACACATTTGTTATATGTACCTCCATACTAAAGCCTTGAGTAAGTGCCCTCCAGAAGCTGATACAAAAGTATAATTTTTCATGATATTTTTCCTGCTCCACTTGATTATTGATACCTCTCAGAGAGTAAAGGTGGCCCATAATCTGCCCGCCCCCAAAAATAGTATGTCTCTGCTGTAGGCTTCCCCTGAAAAGTATTCTCTGTAAAGTTATTTCTGTTGTATATGTAACCGGGTTACATTTTGTTAAACAGAAGAATTCAACATCAGAAAAGTTCTATCTGAAAGGGTTGGACATTGCTGTAGTTCAATCAACCAATGGTAAGAGAGGTTTAGTCACTTGCAATCTAGTAGAATTTGGGGGGGGGGGGGAACCAGAGACTTGTTGCAACACATGTATATATGTATGATAGGCTGACCTTTTAAGTTTGCACTTAATCTTGAAATAAATCCTTCAAAATAGAATGGTGCGAACTCAATCAGGCTCTTAAGGATATTGCAATTTTCTTTCTTCACCCAACACCTGGTGACAATGAGTAATCAGCCCAGCAGGAAACCAAGAACAGGTTGGGTGGAGAAAGTACGCATCATCTGAAATGGTTTGCATAAAACCAGCAAAATGCCTTTTTTTGTACAACTTGCACGTTTTAGCACTGAACTGCCAGAGCTCTGAAATAAACTCCAAATGGTCTGTTACCGTTTATGCACTTTAAAGTCTTCTGTGCTATTTCTTGACAATAAATCTTGTAGTTCCAGAACTACTATTAAAATTGACTCTGGTAGTGTTAGAGACCTGTTTGGCTTCTTTTTTTCTTTTCTTTTTTTTACTACACAGACAATAATTATAACTCAATAATGGTGCAAACAGAATACAAATCAGTTTGTACTTGAATGTTGTCAAGCCATCTCTAATAGCCATTAACAGTATATTAAGCAACTCATAAGCATTTTAACAAAAGGAAAAAAAGTCTGGAAATTTATATTGGACAAAACAACTCCCTATAAATATGACCAGGTTATTTGGAAGTCTTTTTTCCTTCTCTTTTTTTTTTTTCTGCTTTTTGCTAGCCAACCACAGATACATAATCCCCTCTTGCAAAACAGGTATACAGGTATAAAATCTACTCTTCTGCTATTGTATAAAGGAAATGGGTGCTTAAATTGTTGCCATCAGATCTCACCTACTACCTTGTTCCTCTTCAGCCACGCTTTTGGCCACAAATCACACACTCGATAACTGGGAAACCACCATGGGGAATTCATACTTGTGCCGAAAAGAAGAATCGATTGTTGTGATCCCTGGCTATAGAGTAAACATCTTTGACTTAAAGATCCAGCCATTTGGAGTTGATGACGGGCAGTTTTCAGCAGGTAAGAAGGCGGCAAAGGGAATCTTAGCATCTTTTCATTTAAAGATTCAAGCTAAGAGCCAGGGACATTCAATTAATTGTTGACAGTCCCTAAACTGCATGTTGAGCCAGAACAGTCAAGTTAGAGAATAGCTGAGCTCTAGTTTAATGCTGACAGTGACTACAAAAGCAACTTTGGCCAAGACTTGTTCTTCAAGTCTTCTAAGGATACGCTTACAAGTTTCTGCTGGAGCAAGTTGGATATTCACCTGGTAGCTATGTGTGACTTAGCAAGTCATTTCTAGGGTTACATAGTTTGGTGCATGTTCTTGTCTATATTAGCATGACAAGATGGAGCATCTGTGTATTTTTAACCAACCGCTTTGGGGTATATTGAAAAAGGAGTGAATTCCATAAAGGGGAGAAAAACTGATAAAAGTCATATTAGCCGTAGCAGGTCCTTTTAAAAACAGATTTCTGCTGTGGAAATACTTGAAACAGCTACTGGTCAATTTGAAAAAGTTTTCAAACTGATGAGTACACTTCTTTCCCACTTCTAAAAAACAATGTTGGGTATCTTTAAAAAATATTTAAGAACTTTAGAAACTTGGGCATCTTAATCTTAAATTTATCTTAGGATAAATTCACCTGTAAATGCTATAGATGTAGCTCAGATTTGTTTTGAACTAAGTTTTGTTTTGAACTAAGTTTATTTTGTGTGTCTCATAATTTCTTTGGAGCCAGAACTCTTCAGATGATGAATGAGACTGATATCTCTGTACTGAGAGAAGATTGACCTGTATCCCTCAGCCTCGATTGGCCTCTTAATCTAAATTTTTGGCTGTTTTTTCCCATCACTCCTCTAACCTAACACGTTTGGTTTTGTGATATTTTATGAAAGTTTCATCAAAGTTTCATCATATACACTTAGATGGAAATTTTTAATCTAGAAGCTGGTAAATTGGCATGCAAGGAAGCCAGAATATTCCCAACATACCTGCAGAAGGAACCCCTAAATTAACATTTTAGAAAATGACACCAGATTTCATGAGGTTTTGATGTTCTGTTGCTTAGAGAACTTCTGGTCAGAATGCCAAAATACCTCTGAGATCTTAGGTGAGAAACCAAGATGTTAGGAGGGAGGATAATGAAGAATTCTCATGGAATTTAACCATTTTGAGATTCTGGCTATTTTCATTTCAGTCTTTGGCAAGAGAGCATGTTGGCACCAAAGAAGGTTACAAGTCAGCCCTTAAATGACTTAGTTGCCTTGTAACTGGCCAGCTGTTCTTTTTCTCGGCTTCCATGGAAAAATTATTAAGGCACTTCTTAAGCTGGATTCTTTAGTTTAGGTTTGTAATGTTTGCGTAAAGACCAGATCTCTAGGATTTCTTTTCAGCAAACGTCTTTTGATTTGATTTTACTTTTTTCTTTCTTTTTGTCACCACCTCTCTCATCTACAGCGCAAGAATGTTTGCTGGATGATGACACTGTTCTAATCCCCATTTTAGTTGGAGCTGCCCTTGCGGGCTTAATTGTCGTAATAGTGACTACTTACTTAATTGGCCGAAGAAAAACTTACGCTGGCTACCAAACCCTGTAGGTCTGGTGTGACTGTTCTTCAACATTGGTTGGGATAAAAGCAGGTGCACATTCCTCACATGGAACCCAACTGTTTAAAACGTGTGATTCGCTACTCAAAAACGGGGAGATCCCTCTCTGCTCCAGTCAAACACGGTCAACAATATATCTCGTCTAATTGTAATAAGGACTTTACAAACTGCATTGGAACTCTAGGAATGGTGAAAATGGGTCTGAAATTAAACTTTAGTTTGAAATATTGTCATGTAGAGATGTACCAGTGAATAGGTAACTCTTCAGAAGAGGGTTTGGTTTTACTCTGGCTCAACTTAGGGTGCTGAAGCAATAGGGGTGGCAAATAGGGGATTTGCTTCCACTGTCTTGTGTACAAAGTTAATGGTAACCTGGCTGCCATGACAACTGTAACCTGGGAATCCAGGCTTACCTGCAAGTTGTTTCAGTAGCATTCTTTCAGCTCATGGCACTGAACAAATCTGTTGGGTTAACTACTTCAGCCTGAGTAACTTTTTCCCCCCCACCAATTTGGTAGCAGTTACTGATTCTGAAACTCATTGATTGCCTTTACTCTTTGTTACTTTGTGGCTTAAAATAACACAAAACAGCATTTTCAGATATTGGGGAGTGGGTTTTCCTGTCTTCTCTCTACAAGGAGAGAAGATTTAATTGCTTGCCCTCTTTTGAAAAAAATAAAATTAAAGGTAATAAGCACATGGTTATTTTAAGTGTCCTTAGTTTGTGTAGCAGATGTCCAAGGATTTAAATTCCTCTCTAGCTGAAGGTCTTACTATACTAACTGGGTGCAAATAGATGAAAGGCATTGTTAAAAGTCCAGTTTGCACATTTGTGATTGCAGCCACGTGTAAATGGGGCTGGGGATCCTTAGACTCAGAAAGTTGTTCCTTGAAGTGCCTGTAAAATTTTAGGGCATAAATCCCCATTGTAAGCCTTATTAGCAAAACAACAACTGTGCAAAGAGCTACTGTTTAGGGTCTCCTTTGTTCTGATAAGAATGCAAACGGCTCTGAAAAGCTATACTGATCAAAACTATAGGAGTGAGCTCTTCTGCCAGTCAAACTACTTTCAGAACTAAATCTTCTGTACTTCAGTTTACTAAACCCCCTAGTTTACAAACAATGGGTTTATCCTTAAGTTAATGGCAGTCCTATAATAATGCCTATCCTAAAAATTCTAAAGAGAATAAGGTGATAGTCCTTCACTTAATATCTTCCATTCCTCCTCAATATGCAACTGTAATTAAGGTAACTTAATCACTCTTGCACTACTGTCTTAGTTGATTCAACAACTCTGTGTGCGTGTGTGTGTTAACAAGTGCCAGTTAGTGTGTTTGTCAAGTCTTTATTTATATGCCACAGTGGGTATTACAAAGACCAAACCAAGCGTGCACTTTCACTTGAAAGTATATAAATGCCTCTCTTTGATTTGCACCACCAGCTCTTCTGTTTAAAACCTGAACAATAGAGTAACTGGCCTGTGTCAATACTGGTAAATGTCTACTTTTAACTGTTGAAGCCAATGCTGTCTTTACTATATTTGTACTTCTATGTAGGAATTTGTTTGCACATAATGCTTTAATAAAAACTATTGTGTTCATAAGGAAACTTGGTGATGCGTAATTGAAAACCTTTTTCCAGAAAAGTAGTCTTTAAGACAACTTGCCTATGTTCCAAATGGAATCTAAAGTCACTGTCTTCTAGCACTCTGCATAAGACTATTATTATTATTATTATTATATTATTATTATTATTTTGTTATTGATTTACCTGTTGAAGAATTCTTGAGCACCTGTCATGAGCCTTAGTTCAGCTAAGGCATCTTTTAATGTAGACCATTGTTTTTCAAAGTTGACAACTTTAAGTTGTGTGGACTTCAACGCCCAGAATTCCCCGGCCAGCCAGCTCCCAGAATTTTGGGAGTTGAAGTTCAGACATCTTAAAGTTGCTGAGTTTGAAAAACAGTGATGTAAACCCAATTCATTGGGGATGCTATCCAGGCCTTTCACATCAAATGAGTGCTTGCTTATAAATCTATGGTTGGGGGTCATACTACGCTCCACCAGGTAGGAATTACATGGTTATGCATAGCTATGGTTAGTTTAACAGTGGTTCACTGTAGTTGGTGGGGTAATGTAGCTGGGGTAAGATCAGAATCAAATACTGCTTGCTTTAAGCTTAAACTGATTAGTAAAGCAAACCTCTTTCTTGCTTAGGATAAGGAAGAGTTTGTAATAAGTTTCTGAGGAACGTTTTGTCCCTTTCATCTCCATTTTTGAACATTTAGGAAGAGTTTGGGGTCATGCCCCATGGAAAGTTACTGAGAAATAGCTATGCAGAGCTTCATGCAGCTCTTTCAAGTAATAATGCCATTTGGTTTCAGCTTAGTGTGTGGTATGACTCCAACCATTGGGTCAGACGAGACCTTACTGTGACCTCATTGCTTATAATCACAATTAACTGTAAGAGTGAGGGATGGATTGTCAGGCCAAGTCTAGGGCAGTGTTTCTCAACCTTAGCAACTTTAAGACATGTGGACTTCAACTCCCAGAACTTCCATGCTGGCTGGGGAATTCTAGGAATTGAAGTCCACATATCTTAAAGTTGCCAAGGTTGAGAAGCACTGATCTAGGGAGTTGATTGAACTTTCTTCCTTTTTGCTACAGCCTTGGCAAATTACACCAAGCATTACTCCTATCAGGGAAGCGGCCAGTACTGAGATTTAAACAGTGACAAGTCGATGATTTCATGAGAATTTCTGCTACATGATTGTAAGGTTGGAATGCACTAAACATTGGCTCATAACCCATATGGCCAAGAAGCCTTGTTGCACATGGTGGACTGAGCAGGCTGCCAAGTCATTCCTATCATTTTGGACAGTAGAGGGCAGGTGTGGAATAGCTGATCTCTCTCACCACTGATAGAATGAGATTGGATCTTAGGAGGTGAAGCTTCTGTTTTCTGTGATAAATTTGAGCAGACCCATAAGCTAGCTAGTGCCATTTTTCAAGGTAATTACCTTGCAAGACATAAGCATTAGAGCAGCTATTAAGTTTCTTCCAAGGCTAACTTGATTCACGGCTGGGTAGGCATAACAGTGATTGGATCATGGGGAAAGCTGCAGGCCCGGAAAATAGACACATTGATAAAAGGAACTGCTTCTCCCCCTTAGTGACGTGTTCTGATCTAGAAAATAACATATATTCTGATGGGAGGACAAATGGTGTCTTGATCTGTGATTTGCTTCAGCTGTAAAAATGTCTGGCATAGATGGAGCTTTGTGGAACAGTGGGATGATGTTCGAATATACAATTCTTTTGGAGGTAAAAATATCTGCTTTGCCCAATTAAACATTAACCAAGTTGACGTTTGTGGGAGGAGAGTGGGAGATGGTGCTCTTCAGCCCCTTGCCCTGAGCCATAATGTGTTCAGTTTGGTTGTAGCTTAGTCTATTGGGTGAAGCCAATAATTGGAGCTTATTCAGGTAATCATGATCAAAGCCACAGCCTAGTGCAAAACAATTTGTTACCACAGTGAATGGCTATTGGCCTAAATCACTTTCCATGGGGATTAAACAAATTAGCCAAGGAGGAAGAAGATTGTTTCTAGATATCCCATACTGATGAATCATTCTCTGGAAATTTTGCTTTATCAGTTACACTGCACAATGATTTCTTGAATAAACCACAGTGGCCCAGTTTATTAAGCCATGAACTGTCCACAGCAGCTGGACAATTCCTGTACTGCTGTTGGAGGCCCATGGGAAGGGAATATTCCTTCCTTATTTTGATTTCCAGCTGCCAGAAATATCTGGAGCGGTGTGCTGGACAAAAGAATTGGCCTTTCCTTACTGGGTCTTGATAACAGCAGTTCCCAACTTGGATATCTTCCAAATCATGGTTCTTGAGTTCCCAGAATTGCCATCAGCAGTCATTGGCTGGGAACTGAATTCCATATCTCTGAAGGACACCTAGTTGCCTTATGTTTTCCATAACCTTGGAGACTCATTGAGCTCACTGGGCCTACAAGGAGCAATTGTCCAACGCACCTGGAGGGTTCCCAAATCAGGAAGTCTGTTTTGCTTTGTTATGTTGGAGAAGCAACACTAGTGAGCTTGTCTTGGCATCAGAGCTGGGGCAAAGGACAGAATGATGTTCTCCTCTAGGAGGTCATCTCACTTGCTTAACTATGTTAATCACCCTTTCTCTATCCAGCTGAAGATTGCGTCCCAGAAGTCGACAACTTCTTTGTGCCATTCCTGATGACAATAGCCTTGATAGGCTTAGTTTGGCTGGTGGTTATGGCGTATTGTGCTAGAACTCAGCGTAGTGCTGGCTATAGACAGTTCTAGAAGCAAGAGACAATGCAGAGTGAAGTCTTCCACTTTCAAACTGCCAAGGAGGAGTGATTGGTATCCTAAAAGGTGTTATTTCTCACTCATGCTTGTTCTTTAAAAAACTGCATAAAGCTACACTACCGATAAAAGGACATAGGGTTAATGCTTGTTGAATTGGTTGCTCATTAAGATAAGCCAGAAGAGACTGTTTCTGAATTCAGACTTAAACCAAAAGAGGTATATTGTCTTTTTAGAATTGATCATTGCAACGTTAAAACATGATAAAGATTATTTAAGGGTTGGGTTGCTTTTGTAACAATAGATGCAAAGTTAATATAAATGTCACATAAACTAGAAATACATCTTCCTTGTGTTAACCCTAATTCTGATTCACAGGTATTCCTGTTTAGAATTGTTACTTGATTTATCCCTCTCCTCATATTTGAATTCTCTGGCTTGTGTTAACCATGGTTTGTGCTGAGGCAAATGTAATGTGGAAGAAGTAAGGGAGATTTCTCTAGAACCAGGCAGCAGAATTGTGGTCACCAAATTAGTTTTATAATTGCAAGCCATGTTTTGCAAGAAACTACAGTTCTATCTATCATGCCTTAGTCACAGTGTCAGGAAGTAGAGATAAATTATCATTTATTGATAAATGAATGATACCTTTAATTCTCTAGCATTTTCTGCTACAGAAAATGACCCATGTGCAGTCAGAATGAACAACCTTAGATAACAGATTTTGGGAAATAAGGAACCTAAAAGAGAGGGTTTCTCTGCCACTAAGGCCAATGGGAACTGGGAGCCTTTTTTTCCCACTCTGCCCCTTAAAATCATCTCATTTTCCAAACCTGTGATTTGGAAGTCCAAGAGTCCTATTCTCCATCCAGTCCAAGTATTTGAAGCAGTTCTAATTCTTGTAAAAGATTGTACCAATGAGTATGTTATGCAGAGAGCGCTGTAATTTTATTCTAATGTTCATCATGAATATTGTT